CTCCTCCTGTAAAGGTTTGCAGCTTCAGAAACCTGATAAAGATTTGCTCTGGGTCGGAACCAATTAAATGACAGTGGGTTTCGGTTTGGGATGAATCATTTGCTGACATAGCTCAAATGGCTAAACGCTTGTCTGCTAACTGAAAGCATGGCTGTTCAAACCCATCCAGAGGTGCCTTGAAATAAATGGCTGGTAAATTGTTTCCAAAAGATCATAGTCTTGAAAAGACCCAGTTCTGCCCAGTCTCACATCCAGTCACTACCCAGAACTGACCCCATGGCCAGACTTGGTCATTTCCTTGCAGGTTACTGCTTCCAGCTCAGACTGATTTACTTCTCATTTGTACCACTAGATGGAAGTAGGAGCAGGGGCATAGAGACCAAAAAGAAAAAAAAAACAATAGAGGAAAAATCTGGGCAGAGAAAGATCAGCAGGGAAATGGGTGGAGACAGAAGGTGGGAAGCTGGAGGGAGAGAGGGAGAGAGGAGGACACAGCTTACAAGGAAGGAGAGTGCCCAGCTGCTGAATCCGAGCTGTCTATGTTTTGGGATGACAGCACAACTCCTTACCCACCAGGCCACCCGAGTTCCCTATTTATGTTGTTTTAGGAAGGAAGGAAGGAAGGAAGGGAGGGAGGGAGGGAGGGAGGGAGGGGAAGGAAGGAAGGGGAGGAGAAGGAGGTGGAGGAGGAGGAAGGAAGGAAGGAAGGAAGAAGGAAGGAAGGAAAGGAAGGGAAGAAAATATGTTGTCAAGAATTTCTCCAAACTGCTAAAGAGCAATGAAATCAGTTTAAAGACTAAGGTGCTCTAGTACATATCCAAACTGCTAAAGAACAATGACGTCAGTTTAAAGACTAAGGTGTGCACGATCTGAGCATGGTATTTTCCGTTGCTTCCTAGGCTTCTGAAAGTTAGACAATGAATAAGAAAGCTCAAAGAACGAGTGGTACTTTTGAGCTGTGGTATTAGGGAAGAGTACTAATTATCCCACAGACTGTCAAAAGAGTAAACATCTGTCCTTGAGAAAGTGCAACCAAGGTGCTCCTTAGAGATGGTGAAATGTATTTACATGATTTACTGCCTCTGAAAACCCACTGGAGGGTCAAACATGTGTCAGATCTGACTTGATGGTATATAATAACAACATGTACTGCACACACACACTGTTGTTGTAAGTGCTGTTAGGTGCTATATTATCTCTCAAAATGCCAGGAACTCACTGCTGTTGAATTGAGTATGACTCATAGCAACCCTATGAACAACAGACCTGAACCCTGGCCTATCTGGTGCCATCCAATCAACTCAGACACACTTAAACCCATTGCTGCAGTCACTATAAATCCATGTCATTGAGAGCCTTCCTCTCTTTTGCTGACCCTCCACTTTTTCCAAGCATGATGTCATTTTCCAAAGAATAGTCTCTCCTAGCAACACGCCCAAAGTAGGAGACATGAAGCGTCGGCATCTTTGCTCCAAGCAGCACTCTGGCTGCACTTTTCCCCCAAGACTTATCAGTTTGTTCTCCTGGCAGACGATGGGATACTCCTCTCCAGCACCACATCCTAGAGCAGAGAGTTGAGGCAATGTTCGCCCCTACAGATGTGGAAGGAAACAGTTACCATCTCCTGGATCTGAACCTCAGAGGGCTCATGTTGAACTTTGAACCTCCAACGCTGTAACAGAATACATTTTCGTTGTTGTAAGTCACCAAGTCTGTGGTTATTTGCTTTGTCAGCAACAGGAAATGAATATGTTTAATATCAAATTCCAGGTCCTTATAATTCCTGTTATGTCACAGCAAGGGAAATATGAGTCTCTGAGGAGTATGTTGGGAGCATCAGATGTCAGTGTTGGTCCGCTGACATTTAGTTGGCAGATGTTGGGTCATGTAGCTCTCTGTCTTTTTAAATGAAGCGTATATGTAGGGTTTTTTAAAATGCATTCAATAGGAGAAGAGGCAGAATGTGGAGACACGAGCATGAGGTGGATTTACACTCAGGCTCTTACACAATCTTTGACAAAGCAGAGATGAGTCCTTGTGTCTGATGCCCAATTCACAGCAGCCAATGAAGGGGGAAATGCAGAGAGGCTGCAATGTCATTTCCAGACCGCTGCAATGAAGAGACTGTCACAAAAGAGTGAGTCAGACACATTGTTTTGGTTTACCAGTACATAGAAAAGTTATATTTATACTATTCTTTTA